ATATCATTAGTGCATCTATTATAATTTCTTTCTATGTGGTTACCATGGGGCTAATGTAAAATGTCTTGTACTGATAATAGACCATTTTAAGCTGATAGAAATTTTTTTTTTTTTTTCCTTTTTTGTCTTTTTTTGTGACCGGCAACGGGGTCACAACCCTCGGTGTTGTGCCCGCACTGCGCTCAACCAGTGAGCGGACCAGACTCTATATGGGATCCGAACCCTCGGTGGGAGCGCCACCGTGCTCCCAAGCACCACACTCTACCGAGTGTGCCACCGGGCCGGCCCTAAGCTGATAGAAATTTAACTTGGTCACATAAAGTTACTCTAAACTTCCCCACACATGCAACTTAAATTTTCATTGCCTTCATTTATTTTTTATTAATTTTTTGTTGCCTTAATCTATTGTGTGTTTCTTAGCTGTTGTTGTTTTTTGACCATTTTGACTTTAAACCTTCATACTAAAGACTGGAGAATTTACATAGCACCATTACCTCAATGTGATATTCTGAGTTCAAATTAGTACTTACCTCTACTGGTGAGTTTTGTACTTTATGTGTTTTCCTGATATTAATTATTGTCTTTTCAATTCTAGTTGTAGCACTTCTTAAGCATTTCTTGTCAGGCCAGTCTAATGATGATGAATTTCCTCAGTCCAGGAAGGGCTTTATTTGTCCCTCATTTCTGGAGGATAGCTTTGCTAGATAAATTATTCTTAGCTGACAGTTTTTCTTTATTTTCCTTTCAGTACTTTAAATATATCATTCCACTCACTCTTGGCCTACAAGGATTCTGCTGAGCAATCTGTTGATAGTCTAATGGGGATTACCTTATGTGTGACTTGATGCTTTTCTCTTGCAGGTTTTAGAATTATCTCTGTCTTTGACTTTTGACAGTTTGATTATAATGTACCTTGGAGAGGATCTTTTGGGATTGAAACTAATTGGGGACCTTTGAGCTTTCTAAACCTAGATGTCCATATCTCTAACAATATTTAGGAAGTTTTCAGCTATTATTTCATTAAATAGAGTTTGTGTGCCTTTCTTTACCTGTTCTCCCACTGGAAAACCTATTATTCAAACATGTTTTACTTAATGTTGTCCCATATGTTTTGTAGGCTTTCTTCATCCTTTTAAATTTTTGTTTCTTTTTTTCTCCCTCAGATTGTCTTATTTCAAAGACCTGTCTTCAAGTTTAGAAATTTGTTCTTCTGCTTGATCTAGTCTGGTTTTGAAGCTCTCAATTATATTTTTTATTTCATTTATTGCATCCTTCAGCTCCAAAATTTCTGTTTCATTCTTTTTTATTATATCTATCTCTTTTATTATATCTATCTCTTTTTTAAATTTCTCATTCAGATCATAAATTGTTTTCTGATTTTATTAAATTATTTCTCAGTGCTCTCTTGTATCTCATCGAGTTTCCTTAAGATTGTTATTTGGAATTCCTTGGCAGGCATTTTGTAGCTGTCCTTTACTTTGGCTTCTGTCACTGGAGACCTATTGTGTTCCTTTGGGGGCATTATGTTTATTGCTTTTTTATATTTTTTGTGTCACTTATGTTGATATCTGTGCATATAGTGGAATAGTCACTTTTCCCAATTTTATAGAATACTTTACATAAGAAGAGACTGTGTCTTGTAGCCGGGTCCTTGGGTTAGGTATGGTGCATTGGCCTTGGTTTGGGTGGACTCAGTAGCGTAATCTTTGTTCAGAGTCTTCAGCTATAATCCTCCTTACCAATGTCTGTGAATGCCTCAGTGGCCTACACTATGGGAGTCTGTGACAGCAGTGATACGGGAATGCTGGGCTGGTTGTTGGGTCAGTATGTGTGCATGCAAAGGACCAACAGGCTGTCTGGTGGCTTCTATCAGGTACAGGGCTATTGCCCAACTGGCTGTTAGGCTAGGCATGGGAGCACAGCTCTGCAGTTGTCTCTCCTGGGGGTGGTACACTACTAGACAAGCTGTTGGACTGGAAGCAGGTGAGTGGAGGTATGACAGGGTCAAGTGGCTCTGCAGACACCTCTCGGGAGGTGGGGGGTGCTGCCTGGTGGTAAATAGGTGAACTTGAGTGCAGCAGGGTCTGGTGGCTCTGTGGAGGCCTGCCTGAGGAAACAAAGCTGCTGCTGGATCAGCTATCAAATGGGGAGCAGGTGGTGCATGAGTGCAGCAGGAGGAGGCCTGCCAGCACAGGTGGAGCCACCGTTCAATCTTTTGTCAAGGGGGAGCAGGTCTGTGTGGGTGCAACAGGGCCCTCCAGCTCTGTAGAGGCCTGCTAGGGGAGGTGGGCTGCTGCTGAACTGGCTGTTGGGCCTACACAGGCATCTGTGGCCTCAGTAGCCCAGCCACTTGTGCAGAGTGATGCACACAAATGTGCTGGACCAGCCAGCTGATTGGTGGCTTCCCCACTGTGCATGTCCACCTCTTCTTATGGGGGGAGGTTGCCTTGTGGGTTCAGACACTGCAGACCTTTGAGCTTTCAGTAGTTCTGTCTATGAGGACTCTCCTACAGCAAGGATTTCTAGCATTTGTGGTGGCAAAGGGAACAGCTGGAGTTTTCCAGCTTACCTTTAGACCTTTGAGCTTTCAGTAGTTCTGTCTATGAGGACTCTCCTATAGCAAGGATTTCTAGCATTTGTGGTGGCAAAGGGAACAGCTGGAGTTTTCCAGCTTACCTTTTTCCCATAAGCAGAATTCCCACCTGAATCCTAGCCAGTCCCTGCAGAAAGACAGGGTGACAGAAGCAGGATGACCTGATGTCCTCTCTAGGATGCTATCCTGAGCTTCCATGCTCCACAGGCATTTTGTCCCTCCCATGGTGCTCTGCATGGTACTTCCTCAGTCACTTCAGTCAAAATAAATTTGTTTATTTTTTTGTTTTGGTTCCTTTTTGTGGAGGGTGTGAGCGCCTGACAACTCTATAGTTGGCAACCTTCCTCACAATTCAGAGTTCTTTAGAGAAACAGACCAATAAGAGATAGATGATAGGCAGATAGATTAATAGATGATTGACTGATTGATAGAAACTTATAAAAGGAGATTTATTAGAGGAATTGATTCATGTGCTTATGAAGGCCAAGAAGTCCCATGATATGCTATCTGCAAGCTGGAGACTCAGAAAAGCTAGTAATTCAGTTTGAGTCCAAAAGCCTGAAAACCAGGAGCACTTATGTATAAGGACAGAAGAAAATGGATGGCCCAGTTCAAAAAGAGAGAAAGAATTCCCCTTTCCTCCACCTTTTTGTTCTATTTGGGCCTTCAGTGGATTGAATAATGGCAACTCACTTTGGTGAGGGTGGATCTTTCTTTACTGAGGCTTCTGATTCAAATGTTAATCTCTTTTGGAAATGCCCTCAAAGACACACCCAGAAATAAGGTTTTCCCAGATATCTGGGTGTTCGTTAACCCAGTCAAGTTGACACACAAAATTAACCATCATAACATGTGTAGAATTGTTAATAGTATTCCTTTATTATTTTTATGCTGTCTGCAGGATGAGTAGTGATTTCCCCTATTTTATTCCTAATATTGGTAATTCATGTCTTCTCTCTTGTTTTTTATTCTTTTTCTCTCTGTAATTTTGCCTGGGTATTTTCTAATCACCTGTCTTTCAATTGCCTGGTCTACTTTTTATTTGTGTCCAACCTGCTTGATATATATATTGAATTCTTAATCATAATTAATGGGTGTGGTTTATTTTCAATTCTAATATCAACATTTGATTATTTCTATGGGCTCCAATTCTCTGGTAAATTCTCTGTCTTTAATACCTACTTCACCTATGGATCTGTTTCTATTGTCTATGCTTTCTCTTGGCTCTGTTTCTTGGCATACCTGGTAATTTTTTCATTCAATGCCACATATTGTGTTTGAGAATCACAAAGATTGTGCATGAGATTATATTCCCCAGAAAAGGTTTAATTTAACTTCTGGCAGGCAGTAAAATTGAGGGAAGATCTAAATCCAATCAGAGATTAAAGTGATTTAAGACTGAGTTGAATATTTTATAAGAATTGATTTATTTCCTACTATTACTGCTAAGATGTAGTCCTTCCTGAGCCCCACTGAAGGCCTGGAGATTTACCAAGGCACCCCCCTCGTTTATAAATCTATGAAGGTCTCAAAGAAAAAAAGGATGTAGAATGTTGAACTTGCTTCAATTTATTTCCATTCTTCCCAGGGTCTTGGCTCCAAAATGTTTATTGCTTTCCTACATCTCTAATATCATCATTGAGAGGATTGTTTAAAAATCTTCTTATCCTGCTTTTCTGGTTTCCAGAGGAAGATTTTGCCTGCTCTGATATAAGCAACCAAAGCTATAAGTGTGATAGAGTTTGGACGTGTTGTCCCCCCAAAACTCATGTTGAAATCTGATCCCCAATGTGGCACTGTTGGGAGCTGAGCCATGGAGGTGGATCCTTCGTGAATGGATTAATGCTTTCCGTGGGGGTGGGGGTAATGAGTGAGTTCTCACTCTATTAGTTCCCCTGAGAGCTGGTTATTTAAAAGACCCTGGCACCTCCCCCACCATCTCTCTCTCTTCCTTCCTCTTGCCACGTGATCCACCAGCTGCCTGCCACTTTCTGCCATGAGTAGAAGCAGCCTGGGGCCTGCACAAGATGCAGTTTTCTCAGAATCATAAGCGAATAAACTTCTGTCTTTTATAAATTACCCAGTCTCAGGAATTGTGTTATAGCAATACAAAAATGGACTAATACAAAGTGGAACTGTTTATAAATTAGTATAAGACAGATAAGAGAGTCTATGCCATGTTGCCTATGTTTCTCAGTGAAGTATTTAGGCTGTAGACTATAAAGTGAGAACACCTGGAATTTAATGATGAAATAAAGTACTTGAGGGGAACAGCAAATGTTTGAAACAATTATTGTGGGAATATTGAAAGGAATGAGAAGTAAAATTATTTGTTTCTCTACTTAGATGTATATTGTAGGTGATGTGTATTGTGGATATACTGACCAATATTGTTTCCTTACCCTAGGTAACCTACCAACTTACTTGAGGACAAATAGAGAATGTATTCATTTATGTATTATTGCACTTTCCATTGAGGTGAAGGAAAATGAAACACTATTTACTGTTCTTTTCAACAATGAAGCATACCATTCACCATCTGTATCCCTGGCAGTGTTAGACAACATTCTTTTTAAGTCACTTTCTGGTGGCAATGCTTCTTTAGCAGTCTTCAATAAACCTCAGCCACTCCCTGATGATAGGAAACACGGTAGAGGGTATGTTATTCTTTTCATTCATTTTACACTTTAAATGCATTCTTCCCACCCTGTCTGATTACATTTATATGATAAAAATAGCTATTAATAGAAATCTGTATTTTCTGCCATGTTAATTTTCTGATATATTTTCTTTGCTCCTTCTTCTGTAGGTTTGCATACGGACAGCAGGTGGCCTTAAATATACAATTTGGCATGGCTCTTTTGATCAGTGGCTTTTGTCTCCCGACAGTGGCTGAGAGAATGACAAAAGCCAAGCACATCCAGTTTGTGAGTGGGGTCTCTGTCTTTGCATACTGGCTTTCTGCTCTATTATGGGATTTCACTATCTTCTTCATTAACTGTGGCTTACTACTGGTGAGTGTTAGATACCGTTTCTTGAGGGTTTATTTTTCTTCTGTACCCCATGGATATTTTCTGTTCTAATGTTTCTGCCAATAAACTATCTTTGCTCCTTGTATTAGAAAACACACTGCAAAGTCTCATGGCAGAAACTTCCTCTCCCAAATCCTTCATCAGAAGAAAGTAACTTTTTTTGCAAGAGCACAAAGACCTCTCATGAATAATTTCTTATTTATTTTCTCATCAACTTATGCTGACCACCCCTGCAAACTGCTCTAATGATGGGTAGATTCTTACCTGTGATGTCTCATACTACTCAGTCTTGTCCAGTTTTTTCCTCTAGTAGGACTGACTACTGTATTTCCATTTTTTCTAGTTTCCCTTCAAGTCTTTATCAATTTATTTTTAAAATTATATTGAACACCTGCTGTCATCTGGACACTAATCTAATGCTATCTCTGAGTCCTCCTACAAGAGTTCCTAATCAAAGGAACTGTGTACAAGATCACTATTTTACTAGTGTAAGCTAGTGCCTAGTAATTCCAAATTGTGAACTTCATGGGAATAAGTGCATTACAGAACACATCATATACTGTAGAGCTAAGTGAGGTTTATTGTTCCTATTTACCCCAAATTTATACCCATCCAATTTATATCAATGAAGAATGAGAGCATGAGTAAAACATTTATGAATGCATACCATATTACTCTGTTCCCTAGTAAAATGTGGTCTCTTGTATGTTCCAGAAAACTGCCCAACCATGTTAACAATTTCTTTCTTTTGGTGTGTATGTGTGTGTCAATGTGTCTGTGTTTGTGTGTGTGTGTGCATGTGTGTGTGTGTGTTTGTGTTAGGGGTGTATAAATGTGCACACTTTGGAGGTGGTAAAGAGTGGTGAGTGGAAAAGATACGGTGTATATAGAGGGGAAATCAATGGGAGGTGGAGGCAATTTTCTTCCCTAATAATAGGTACAAAGAATTCCAGTGTGAATAAAAATATGACTCATTCCTGAAGTAGTTCACTGTTTAGTAATAGACATAAGCTAACCATAAAAATAAAATATTTACGACAAAACATGTTGATTTATGTCATAAAAGTATGAACTGTCATTTTCCATTCAAAACATTACCATGTACCAGAAAAATTACTTTCTCCTTACTTCCTTTCTCCCTCCTTTTCTACTCATCTCCTGATTTTTCTTCCATTTCTTTTATCATTTCCTTTTTCTCCTTATTCACTTTGTTCTTAAAAGTACTTGAGATAATTTATTTGAGTTCTGTGCACTGTACCCTCAAAATTATGTGAATGTGTGTGAGTGTATGTGTGTGTGAATGTGTTGGCCTTTATTATGTATGTATATTGACATACTTTTTGGAATAAAGAAAATAGAGAAACATTCTTATCCCAAGGTTGAGAGATATCAGGAAGTTCCCTTTCTACACATTCTATATATATGTATATATTTTTTTCCTTTTTGTCTTTTTTACTGACCGGTAACGGGATCGTAACCCTTGGTGTCGCACCCGTACCGGGGACCGGCAACGGGATCGCAACCCTCAGTGTTGCGCCCGCACCGCGCTCAGCCAGTGAGCGGGAACAGGTCTCCACATGGGATCCGAACCCTCAGCGGGAGCGCCACCGCGCTCCCAAGCAGCACACTCTCCAGTGCACCACCAGGCCGGCCCTACACATTCTATATATTGCCACACACGTCATTGTGGTCAAGGATCTCCATGCTGGAAGTGGGAGGGAAAGGGTTGTTGTTGATAGTATGGAGAGAAACTTCAGTACAGAGATCCCCAACTTAGAATGAACTGCAGGAAGTTCTCTTTCTATACATTCTCCATCTTTCTGCATATATTACTATGGCCAAGAAACTCCATACCATCCTTTTCAACTCATAAATTACCAGGCAGCATGGCAAGAGCAAATCGCTTTAGAGGGCCACTAATTACATCTGTCACCACAGGAAGTAATGAAGTGATCGATGAGCATTTTTTCTGGCACCATTATATTCCTTCTACCAGTCTCTACCAACTCATGCAATACACACACGTGCTGAGAGTATTGGAATCAATCAGATAATTCCTGACTCTTAAAATCACCTGCACTGTTGTAGCTGCATTTCCAAAGGTTTGATGTGTCATATTCAAAGTATTTCTTGATTTTTTTAAAACATAAAATTTTAGGAGGATATTGTTTAAATACTACATAGTTAAGGATATTCTTATTGCTTTTATGGTTTATAGCTTAGTTTAATGCGGCCAAAGAATAAATAAACAATTTAAATAATTTGAAAGTTATTTAAAAATTTGTCAATTTGATGTATGCTCTAATACCACATAAGAATATGTATTCTCACTTCCAAATTTATTTTATGAAGATAAAAGTCCAGACAAGGATACTACTAGAAAAGAAAGTCATAGGCTGATATCCTTGATGAACATACATGTAAAAATTCTCAACAAAATGCTAGCAAACTGAATTCAACTGTACATTAAAATGATTATACATGAAGACCATTACAGGTAAAATGTTTGTCTCCTCCAAAACTCATGCTGAAATCCTGAATGGAATCCTTCAGTCTGAAATGAAAGGACACTAGACAATAACTACAATCCAAATGAAGAAATAAAAAGTATCAGTAAAGTTGCAACATAGGTAAATGTAAAATATATTAATATATTTTTCTTTAGAACTCTTCTATTTTTCTATCTGATTTAAAAGGCAACTGTACAAGGTCAAGGATTGGGATTTCTGTGCTGGCCAGCCACCAAAAAAAAAAAAAAAAAGTTAAAAAGCTACTGCATAAAACAATAATTATAAACTATGCTGATGGCCACATGATGTATAAAGATGTAATTTGTGACAATAATAGCATAAGAAGGAGATTAATAAGTTATATAGATGCAAAGTATTTGTACAGTATTAAAATTAACTTTGTACTAATAACCTAAACTATATTGTTATAAATTGGATACTAATGGTAATCCCCAGAGCAACCACTAATACAATAACCCAAATATATATAATTTTAAAAGCCAATATAATTTAATGGCACAAAAGACAGAATGGATGAATAGGAAAGTGTAAATTATATAAGACATAAAGTGGCAGAAGTAAGTCCTTATAAGTAATTACATTAAATGTAAATTAATTAAACTCTCCAAATAAAAGGCAAAGATTGGCAGAATGGATGCAAAAACATGATCTAACTGTATGCTCTCTATTAGAGACTCACTTTGGATTCATTGACACAAATAGTTTGAGAGCAAAATGATTGAAGGAAGATTGTACTTCTTCAAAAGAGTGCTGGTGTGGCTTTAATAATATCATTGAAAACAGAGTTTAAGACAAAAATTGTTGAGATGGACAAAGAAGAAATGTCAACTGTTGCTGCTGTTGTCAAAAACAGTTTTGTGGTTCCTCAAAAATTAGAGATAGAAATACCACATGAGCCAGCAATTACACTCCTAGATTTATACCTAAGAGAATTACAAACATCTTCTTTAAAAACTTGAAAATGAATGTTCGTAGCAGCATTATTTATAATAGCCAAAAAGCAGAAACAACCCAGATGTTCAAAAACTGATAAATGGATAAACAAAATATGGTATATCTATACAATGGAATATTACTGAACCATAATGAGGAATGAAGTGCTGATACACACCACAATATACATGAACCTTGAAAAATTATGATAACTGAAATAAGCTAGGCACAAAAGACTATTATTTCATGACTCTACTTATCTAAAATGTCCAGAATAGGCAAATCCGTAGACAGAGAAAGCAGATTAGTAACTACCATGACCTAGGGGAAAGGGATAATGAGTGGTGACTGCTTAATGGGTACAGCAGCTCTTATGGACTGATGAAAGCGTTCTGGAAATAGATAGCAATGATTATTAAATAACATTGTGAATTGTAGACAGAGAAAGCAGATTAGTAACTACCATGACCTAGGGGAAAGGGATAATGAGTGGTGACTGCTTAATGGGTACAGCAGCTCTTTATGGACTGATGAAAGCGTTCTGGAAATAGATAGCAATGATTATTAAATAACATTGTGAATATGCTAAAAACCATAGAATTGTACACTTCAAAATTATTAAAACTGATTTTTTTTGTCTGAATTTTACTACAATTTTTAAAATAAAAATAAAAATGATGCTAGGACAACTGAATATTTATATTCAGTTTAGTATAATTTGATCTCTACTTTATACCATACACAAAAAATCCATTTCAGGTGAATTATAGATGTAAATATGAAGGCTAAAATTATAAAGTTATGGTAGATGATATGTTAGCATATGACCATTACTTTGGCATAGGGAATCATTGTTTTTTGTTATGGTTTACCGAATCATAATTGATTATACATATTTTGGGGCTTCAGTGTTGATGTACATTCATCAAATCAATATTATTAGCATATATATTATTACAAATCGTATTCTTTATGCCCTTTATCCAATCTCTCCCTACTCCCCACACCTCCCACTTCTGATAACCCTAGATTTCTTCTCTCCTTCTGAAAGAGTAATGGTCACTCTGCTGGTTTTTTACCTAGATGATATGTCCAGTGCAGAGAGAGGTTGTGTTCAGGTCCCCCACTATTATTGTAGAGTAGTTTTCAAGGAACTAACTGTAAAGAAAAATATGAATAAATTTGTTTACCTGAGAAGTTATTTCTCTTCATCAATAGACATCTTTAATAGAATAGAAAGGCAAACCACAATATGGGTGAAAATGGTAGACAAACCCATTTCTGACAAATGATTTGTATCTAGTATACAAAACCCCAAAAGAATGACATTCAATGGCAAAAGGGACACTACATAAAAGGGCATATGGAAGTAATAAATAAATGTATTTTGGGCCGGCCCGGTGGCGCACTGGATAGTGCGCCGCTTGGGAAGTGCGGCGGTGCTCCCGCCCGAGGGTTCGGATCCCACATACAGACCGGTTCCCGCTCACTGGCTGAGCGAGGCGTGGGAGCAACACCGAGGGTTGCGATCCTGTTGCTGGTCCCGGTCCGGTACCGGGGGCAACACTGAGGGTTGCGATCTGTTGCCAGACACGGAAAAAGACAAAAGACAAAAATAAATAAATAAATAAATAAATAAATAAATAAATAAATAAATAAATAAATAAATAAATGTATTTCAAAGTGCCTACCTTCATGAAAATTTATCAAGGAAATGCAAATTTAAACGACAATAAGGTACCACTACATACTGCCTGAATTGCTAACTTTAAAAACTGACAATACTAAATATTGACAGTGATGTAGAGCAACAGGAACTTTTGGAACACAGTTTGGTATTATTTTCTCAAGTTGAAATAAGTATAATCTGTGGCCCAGTTATTCCACTTCTTGTTATGTACCAATAGAAACTTGTGTACATTTTAACCAAGAGGTATGTACAAGAAAATCTTCAGAATTATTATTCAGAATAATTTTTATGTGCTGAATTGTGTCTCCTTCCCCGCCAATTCATATGTTAAAGTCCTAATCCCCACTCAGTACATTATAATTTGACTATATTTGCAGATGGAGCTCTTGAGGAGGTGATTAGGTTAAAAGGAGGCCATTGGGGTGGGTCCTAACCCAATCTGACTGGTGTCCTTATAAAAAGAGGATATTTGAACACACAAAGAGACACCAGGAGCCTACATGCACAGAGGAAAGTCTATGTGAGGACACAACAAAGAGGCCACATGAAAGCCAAGGAGAGAGGCCTCAGAAGAAACCAATCCTTCCAATATCTTGACCTTGAACTTCTAGCCTCAAGAACTCTGAGAAAATAAACTTCTGTTGTTTAAGACACCCAACCCAGTCTGTGCTACTTTTATATGGCAGCCCTAGAAAACTAATACAATAAACACTGGAAACAACCCATTATTCATCAAGAGTAAAATAGATAAATTGTGACACAGTCATCAGATGGACACTATAGAGCAGTAATAAAGAATGAGCTAAAGCTACGTTCAACAGCATAGATGAATCTCACAAACATGATGTTGAGTGAAAGAAGCCAGGTATAAGATGATACGTATTACATAATTGCATTCATAAAAAGTTCAAAATACAGATAATAGTAAACTTTAATATTTAGAAACACATACCTATGTGATCATTCTGTTAAGAAATATTTTTTAAAAGAAGTATTTATGGGCCAGCCCCATGGCTCACTCAGGAGAGTGCAGCGCTGGTAGCGCCGAGGCCGCGGGTTCGGATCCCATGTAGGGATGGCCAGTGCGCTCACTGGCTGAGCATGGTACGGACCACACCGTGCCAAGGGTTACGATCCCCTTACCAGTCAAAAGAAAAAGTATTTAGGATAAAAGTCAGAATAGTGGTAACTTTTGCCGAGATTGGAGTAGTTTATGATAGATTTCTTGTTGGACTGATATTGTGGTAGTTGTCCAGGGGGTTGCTTGGTGATAATTCATTGTGATTATTTATGTTATGTGCACTCTTCTGAATATGTGTTCTATTTTATAAGAGGTTAAAATATTTACTTGGGAATTTTGTTTGCATTTTAATTTATAGATTAATTTGGGTGGAATCTACATATTCACAATGCATGGTCTTCTTGTGCGAGAAAAGAATATATTGGTTATGTATCCAATTAGGAACTTGACTTTTCTTTGAAATAGATTATGATTTATGACATTGGTAGATTATAAGACTATGAACACAGGGATTCCTAGGTCACCCCAACTCATTTAATTATCTCATTATATTTATTATGTTTAGGTTTACATTATGCTTAGTCAGAAGCAAACATACCTATAGGTACTGGATTCAACTATTATCTACTAATCTCTATTGCTATTGCTGCCACCACCAGGAACATCAGTCATCAATTGTGTAATGACTACTCGTAGCTTAATCTTACTATTTATTCTTTGTTGTCCTGTTATGCAGTCACGTTCTTGCCAAAAGGGACAATCCTGTGATTTGTGGAGAAACTGTAATTACTAACTAATGAGATAAGATTTCCAGAAATGTACTTCCTTTAATAGTTACAGGTTCCTCTCCACGACCACCATCCTTTTTTAGATTCCTCTAATTTTGTGTTTCACTGTCTGATTTTTTATTTAAATTAGAAAAATTAAAAAGGAGTTTCCAGAGTGGCTTAGGTGGATGTGAAGGGAGTGGGAATGTAGAATAGAACCAGGAGGCCCAGTTTAAAGGGGGGTAGCAGTGAAAGGTGAGTTATGTAATCAGAGAAAACTTCTTTAGAGAAACAGCATCTCTTTAGAGAAATAATCTACTTCCTGGGAATCTTGGCAGGATTATTGGGAGGAATTTTCTCAAGTAGAAAACAAAATAATAAAGGGAAGTATAGTGGTTCTGCCCACTGGAATGTCCTCTCATGAAAAAGAGGTGAAGGGGCTTACTCCATGCTTAAAGGCTAAGGCTTTTTTTGTAGAGAGGCAGATTGACTTAATTAATGAATACAGTCACGCATTGCTTAGCAGTAAGGATAACTTCTGAGAAATGCATTATTAGGTCATTTTGTCTTTGTGCTAACATCACAGAGTGTACACAAACCCAGATGGTATAGCATACTACACACCTCCAGCTCTGTTATAATCTTACAGGACCACTGTCACACATGCGGTCCTTTGTTGACTGAAACCTTGTCATGCAGCTCATGACTGCACTCCCGTGCCATGAAGGTAGGCTTGCTACTAAGTTCTCTGGCTTGACTTCTTCTTGCACTTCCCTTCACCTTGGCTTCATTTCCGTACCCTCTGTGTTTCAGGGAGTGTTAAAGTACTACAAATTTGATATCTATGTCATGGACTACCATGCTCTGGAGACAATGCTGATCCTCACACTGTATGGCTGGTCTGCCATCCCCCTTGTGTACCTGATGAGCTTCCTGTTCTCTGGAAGTACTTCTGCCTTCATCAAACTTCTCCTGCTCAACTACTTTTCAGGCACTTTCGGTTTCATCATCAACATCGCATTAGAAAACCGTACGTGTAAGGTCGTCACAAAATTTTACCTTCCCCAAAAAGGCAGCAGTAAATAAATAAGGAATGGGCCTGCAGATATCTAAGGACATTTGTAGATAAATTAAGTTCTAGGATTTTGGAAAAATTCTGTACTTGATGTAAGTCATTAAACTTATTTTGAGTGCCTGCAATATTCTAGACATTCTGCCAGATCTGGGATCCCCGTACTGAAAAGATAGGCTTGAACCTGAGCTACAGGCCCTTTGACTTGATTCCTCCTCTCTATCCTCACCTCCTATGGCTCCATCACATAATGTAAGGAATCTGTTTGCACCTGGTCTTGGAAATTTAGGGAGTATTTTTCCCTGAGACTCATTAGCCAGAGATAAAGATAAAACAGGCAGCTTTTTTCTTATAAAGGCGGGTCTTAGGAAGAAGAAATTATGTCTCAGATACATTAGATCATTATTACCTTTAAAAGTGTTATCTCTTAGTATTATGACACGTTGGTGGGAGGTGAAGAGAGAGAAGAGTAAAGAGGAATCTTGAGCTCTTGGGAGACACCAGCAGTTCTATTCAGTGAAGATTTTAAGGCACTAACGTAATAAAAGGGCCTCACTAATTCAATAAAAGAGCCTCCTAACAAAATTTTCAGAGAGAAGAAAAACTCTATATGCACCTAACATATGTATCTTACTCCCAGTCCTACTTTCTGCACGATTCTTGAATTTGTATCTCCTCATTTTTCTTTTCTGGTTATGATATTTGAGTACATATTTCCTAAACTGATCATTGTTACAAAGAGACCTTTAAAAAGGGAGACTATTGCCACTCTTTTTTCAAATCACCTTTTAAATATGAATTTGAACAGGGTCAAATATTTTATTCCTTCTCGTTGTCACAGAACATTATTCTGCCTTATTCTTTCAGCCCTTTGCCTTGCCATAAAAAAATTCTCTGCATTAATTAAAGATTGGCTTATTGTATACTCCTTTGCACACTTCTTCAAAGATGAATATTTCCTGTGAGCCACACTTGAACTTCTGCATAGCAAACTAAAATACTTGTAAGAGCTATGCTGAGCATTCATTCTCACATAAGAATCCCCAAATTAAAGGAAGCAAACATCTATATATTTTTGCTTACCTCTCCAAAGGGAAATATTGTGTTGCACGAGGAAGACTCATTTGAAAACACTTGAGTTTGTGAACCTTTACCTAGAATAAAATTATGAGGAATTATCATTTAAGGTTCTAGAGAGGAACAGTTGGGGCAAAATAAGAATAAAAAGAGATTACTGTTTTAAAAAGTCTAAAGGACATGTTTTGGAGAAATATGTTGCAAAGAGTCATGTCAGGTGAGGACAAAAAAATTGTTAGTAGACTAGGTAATTTGAAAGTAAGAAGAGACTTCCACTTCTTAGCAGCATAACAAACACTAAATTATACTTTGCCTAAAATTATAAACTGAGAAGAAAATATGGAGTTGGCAGAGGCCGACAATAAAGTGTCCTTGGAAGTAAGTGAGCATTTTTATCTGAACATAAACCAAAATGAGTCTTTAAAGTTATGCAAAATAAAGGCCAGCATTACCCTAATACTGAAACCAGGCAAGGATACAACAACAAAAACTATAGGCCAATATTCCTGATGAACATATGCAAAAATTCTCAACAAAATACTAGCAAACTGAATCCAACAGCACATAAAACAGATTGCATGGAATGATTAAGTGGGACTTACCCCAGGGATACAAAGATGGTTCAACCTACGCAAATTAATAAATGTGATACATCACATCAATAGAATTAAGAACAAAACCCATACGATTATCTCAATAGACATACACAAAAAAAGCACTTGATGTAATTGAACATCCCTTTATGATAAAAAACTGTCAACAAATTAGGACTAGAAGGAACATACCTCAAAACAGTAAGGGACATATGTGACAAACACACAGCTAACATTATACTGAATATGAAAAAGTTGAAAGCCTTTTCTCTAAGCTCTGAAACAAGACAAGGATGCTTACATACGCCACTTTAATATAGTACTGGAAATTCTAGACAGAGCAATTAGGCAAGAAGAGAAATAAAGGGAATCCAAATATCCAAATTGAAATGGAGGAAGTCAAATTGTCCTTGTTTTCAGATGACATGATCTTATATTTAGAAAACCTTAAAGACTCCACCAAAAAGCTGTTTAAAATGATAAACAAATTCAGCAAAGTTGAAATATACAAAATAAACATACAAAAATCAGTAGTGTTTCTGTATGCCAATAGTTTCTGTATGCCAATCTGCTGAAGAAATCAAGAAAGCAATCCCATTTACAATAGCTACCAAAAAAAAGGAATAAATTTAACAAAAGAAGTGAAAGTTCTCTACAATGAAAATTATAAAATGCAAATTAAAGAAATTAAAGATGACACTAAAAAGGAATGATAAGCCATGTTTATGAATTGGAAGAATTAATATTGTTAAAATGTCCATACTACCCAAAGTGATCTACAGATTTAATGCAATTTTTATCTAAATATCAATACTGAATGTAAAAAAGCTCAAAGCCTTTTCTCTAACCTCTGGAACAGAAATAGAAAAAACAATCCTAAAATTTGTATAAAACCACAAAAGATACCAGATAGCCAAAGGAATCCTGAGCAAAAAGAATAAAGCTGGAGGCATCACACTACACTTCAAAATATACTGTAAAGCTATAGCAACCAAAACAGCATGGTATTGGCATAAAAAACAAAGAAAAAAAGATCAATGGAATAGAACAGTGAACCCAGAAATAAATCTATGTATTTACAGCCTAACTGATTTTTGACAAAGGTGCCAAGAACATACTTTGGAAAAAGGACAGTCTAATTAAATGATTCTAGAAAAACTGGATATCCACATGCAGAAGAATGAAACTAAACCCCTATCTCTTACCATATACAAAAATCAACTGAAAATAAAGACTAAACTGTAAAACTGAAAACTTTGAAACTACTGGTAAAAAACATAGGAAAAAATTCCATGACCTTGGTCTGGACAATGATTTTTTTGTTAATCACCTCAAAAGCACAGGAAACAAAACCCAAAAATAAACAAAAGAGATTACATCAAACTAAAAATCGACAGAGTAAAGAGACAACCTATGGAATGGGGAGAAAATATTTACAAGCTATCCCTCCAGCAAGGGATTAATATCCAGAATACGTAAATGACTCAACAGCAAACAATAGATAAAAAGACAAAAAAAAACAAATAATTCAACTAAAAATGTGCAAATGATCTGAATAGACATTTCTCAAAAGAGGACAAATAAAAATAGCCAACAAGTACATGAAAAAATGCTCATCATCACTAATCATCAGAGGAGTGCAAATCAAAACCACAATGAGATATCTGACCCCAGTTAAAGAAGCCATTATCAAAAAGACAAACAGTACATTTTGCACAAATTCTGCACAAAAATGGGAATTCTTACACACTGCTGGAGGGAATGTAAACTGATACATCCACTATGCAAACAAATATAGTTTCCTCAAAAAACTAAAAATAGAAATGCTGTAAGATCCAGCAGTCCCACTACTGGATATACTTGTATATCTAAAGGAAAGGAAATCAGTGTGTGGAAGAGATATCTTCACTCCTGTTTTCAATGCAGCACTGTTCATAGTAGCCAACATACAAAATCAATCAAAGTGTCCATCAATGGATGAGAGAATAAAGAAGATGTGGTGTTCATACACTCAATGGAATATTATTCAGCCATTAAAAAACAAAGAATGAAATCCTGTTATTTGTGGGAACATGGATGAGCCTGGAGGACACTGTGTTAAATGAAATAAGCCAGGGACAGAAAGACAAATGCCGCATGTTCTCTCTTATATGTGGAAGATAAGAAAGTTGATTACACAAAAGTGGAGAGTAGAATAGTGGTTAGCTAATGCTGGGAAGGGCAGGGGGTGGGGGGAGGGAGGAATTGGGAAGAATTGATTAATGAGTAAAGAACTACAGTGATATAGGAAAAAATAAGTTCTAGTGTTCTATATTGCACAGTAGGGTGACTATAGTTAACATTAGTTCATTTTATATTTCAAAATAGCTAGAAGAGAAAATTTTGCATGTTTCCAACACAGAGAAATGATAAATTATTGCGGTGATGGATATGCCAGTTACCCTGATTTAATCATTATATATTGTATGCATGTACACTGTATACATGAAATACCACAGGTACCCCATAAATATACACAATTGCGGTGATGGATATGCCAGTTACCCTGATTTGATCATTACATATTGTATGCATGTACACTGTATACATGAAATACCACAGGTACCCCATAAATATACACAATTATTATGTGTCAATTAAACATTTAAAAGCTATGCAAAATATTAAGATAGAATACAATTTTCTAAAGGATTTATTTGTTTTGGACTTTGCAAATAGAAGGGTATAATTGCAAATTAAGTTTATTATCTTCTTTTCAGCTTTTACAGTGGGGATTTTGTTTTTTAATTTTTAAATTTTTTTCAAATTTATTTGTTTAGATTGACAGATAAAATTGTATATATTTATTATGAACGTCATTATGTTTTAAAATATATATACATTGTGTCTACTGAATTAACATATGCATTACCTCACACAGTTATGATTTTTGTGGGGTACTTAACATCCACTCTCAGCATTTTTCAAGAATAAATCTATTGTCATTAGCTATGGTCACCATGTTGTACAATAAATCTCTTGAACTGCTCTCTCTTATGTAACTGTAATTTTGTATCCTTTGACTAACAACTCCCCGTCCCCACCATCCCCAACAGTCCCAGCCTCTGGTACCCACTACTCGCTACTTGTATGTGATCAACTTTTTAAAATAATACATATAAGTGAGATCATGCAGTATTTGTCTTTCTGTGCCTGGCTTATTTTTCTTAACTAATGTTTTCCATATTTATCCATGTTGTCACAAATTACAGGATTTCATTCTTTGTTATGGCTGAATAGTATTTTTCTTTATCCATTCATCCACTGATGGACACAGGTTGATTCTGTGTCTTGGCCACTGTGAATAGTGCTACAACAAACATGGAAGTGCAGCTATCATTTCAACATAATGATCAAATGTACAAGGAAATAGAAGTGTACTTCAAAATACTCATAGAAAGATCCATATTGTCTTTCAATTGTATGTTTATGAACTTTTTGAAGTACATTTGTATGCTTAGTAGTGGAATAGCTGGATTACATGGTATTTCTATTTTTTAGTTTTTTGAGAAACCTCTATACTGTTTTCCATAATGACTGTACTAATTTACATTCCCTAACAGTGTGGAAGAGTTCCCCTTTCTGTGCCTCTTTGCTGACATTTTATATATATATTTATAATAGCTATCTTAACTGGGGTGAGGTGATAGCACATCGTGGTCTTGATTTTCATTTCCCTGATAATTAGTGATGTTGAACTTTTTTCTTTTTTCATATAACTGTTGGCCATTTTTATATGTCTTCTTTTGAGAAATAACTATTCAGATCATTTGCTTATTTTTTAATTAAGCTATTTTTTGTTTGTTTGTTTGTTTTTCCTATTAAGTTTTTTGAGTTCCTTATAAATTTTGGATATTACCCCTTATCAGATATATGGTTTGAAATATTTTCTCCCATTCTATAGGCTATCTCTGTTTTTCCTATTAAGTTTTTTGAGTTCCTTATAAATTTTTGATATTACCCCTTATCAGATATATGGTTTGAAATATTTTCTCCCATTCTATAGGCTATCTCTCCACTGTTGAATGTTTCCTTTGCTGTGCAGAAGCTTTTTAGTTTGATATAATCCTATTTGCCTATTTCTGCCTTTGTTTTCTGTGCTTTTAAAGTCATGCTAAAAAAAAATAAATAAATAAATCATTGCCCAGACCAATGTCATGGAGTTTTTTCTCTATAACTTTTTTCTAGTGGTTTCATAGTTTCGGGTCTTACATTTCATTCTTTAATCCATTTTGAGTTGAGTTTTGTATATTATGTGAAGTAAGGGTTTATTTTTATTCTTCTGCATGTGGATATCCAGTTTTCCCAGCACCACATATTGAAGAGACTATTGTGTGTTCTTGGCACCGCTGTTGAAAACCAGTTGTCTGTAACCTTGTAGATTTATATCTGGAATCTCTATTCTGTTTTATTGATCTATGTATCTGTTTTTATGCCGGTACCATGCTCTTTGTTTACTATAAAATTGCAATATATTTTGAAGTCAGATAGTGTGATGCCTTTAGCTTTTTATTCTTTTTGCTCAAAAGTACTTTGGCTATTTGAGGTCTTGTGCAGCTCCATCTGAATTTTAGGATTGTTTTTTCTATTTCTGTTAAGAATGGCTTTGGTATTTTAATAGGAATTGCATTGAATCTGTAGATTGCTTTCGGTAATATAAACATTTTAAAAATATTAATTCTTCTAAATTACAAACACATTTTTCCATTTATTTGTGTCTTTTCAATTTCTTTCATCAATGTTTTTGAGTTTTCAGTGTAGAGATCTTTCACCTCTTTGGATAAATTTATTCCCGTGTTTTTTGTTTGTTTGTTTGGTTTGGTTTTTGGTTTTGGTTTTGATTTTTGTTTGTTTGTTTGTTCGTTTGTTTGTTTTTTGAGCTATTGGTAATGGATTGCTTTCTTGATTTCTTTTTCTGTTTAGCTATTAGTATATAGAAATACTACTGATATTTGCATGTTGATTTTGTATTCTACAATTTTACTGAATTAATTTATTAGTTTTAATAGTTTTTGGTGGAGTCTTTAGGGTTTTCTATTCATAACATCATGTCATCTGCAAATAAGGAAAATTCTTCGTTTTCATTTTAAATACTTTATATTTCTCTCTCTCACCTAATTTTGCTGGGTAGGACTTTCAGTTCAATGTTTAATAAAAGTGGCAAAAGTGGGCATCTTTGTCTTCTTCCAAATCTTAGTGGTAATGCTTTCAATTTTTCTCCATTGAGTAAGATGTTATGTGTTTGTCATATATGGCCTTTATTGTGTTTAGGTACATTTCTTCTATACTTAATTTGTTGAGAGGTATTTTTTTTATCATGAAACGATGTTAAAATTTATCAAATCTTTTTCTGCATTTATTAAAATGATAATGGTTTTTGTTCATCATTCTGTTAATATAATGTATCACATTTATTAATTTGCATATGTTAAAGCATGATTACATCCCTGGGATGAATCCACTTGATCATGGCAAATGATCCTTCTGATGTGCTGCTGAATTTGGTTTGCTGGTATCTTGCTGAGGATTTTAGTGTCTGTACTCATGAAGGATATTGGCCTGCAGTTAGTTGTTACCATTTTTGTTGTTGTTGTTGTGTCCTTGTCTGACACAACAGTCCTGATCTATATAATTAGCCCTTGCCGTTTTTGGCTTCTTTTCAAGTGACCAATATCCAGAATTTTCCATTCTGTATCAATTATTCATCTCTATATCAAGTTAAAATCTGCTCAGGACAGACATGCCATGGCTTTGGCACCTGAAGGTTTCACTTCTTTGCCATCTGTCCTTGCTGAAAGTGTGTTATCAGAATCTTTTGTTTATAATCTTGTCTTTTATCCTCTTCCCAAATGTGTAAATTTATTACCAGAATTCTGTAATGGAAACTTATATATTAAATGCTTATAACTCCAGGAATTTAGTCTCTAGTTACTATTCATATTCAATTCAAAGCTTCTTTCTTTGAAGGTTTTTTAATCTCAAATATTTCAGAATTTTCCCTATTTGTTCCCCACTGTTGAATTCTATCCTCTCTTACATCTACTGTACTCCCTTAATTGATCAATTAGTATTAGAAATGTGAAAAATATCTAGCAGTGATTTTTTTGTGCTATCAAGTGCCAGGAAGACTTATAATAGGGACACCCACTTCACCAAAAAGACTTTTCAGAATCCTACAATTATCAACACAAACTGTGTCACCAGCTATAAAGTGGACCAAACCTACTGGGAAGTAATTAGTGTTCTTCAAAGATAATCCTCTGGTTTTTAACTCCCTGAGCTTGTTTTGATCATCACTGAGGAATTTTGAGAAAATATTGTAGTTTTTCAGCTTATAGTCAGTACACACAGGTATAGCTGTACTTGCTAAAATATTAAGATGTGTGGATAAATAGCTGCTGGTCTAGGCCTCCTGGCTGTGTTCTTGTTGCGTAGACCACCTGGGCTTCTCCATGATCTGCCAACTAAAAAGTTAAAATTTATCATAGCAGAATGCCTGGATGGCCCATGTCTAGCATTAAGCAACATCCAACCTGATAAATAAGAGCCTGTATTAGTCAAGATCTCCAGACAAACAGAACCAATAGGATATACAAGCGTACTTTAACAAGTTCCTGGAAAGATTTGTATTATCTTTTAATTCTATTTTTCCACAAATTTTGGAAGTACTTGTGTGTGGGGGGGAGCAAAGGAGAGATCATAAGGAATTAACACATGTGATTACGAGGCTGCAAAATCCCACAATCTGTCCTCTGCAAGCTAGTGACCAAGGAGAGCTAGTTGTGTAATTACTGTCCAAGTCCAAGGGCCTGAAAAACAGAACTGATGGCATAAGTTCCAATCCAAGTGCAGAAGAAGACTGATGTCCCAGTTCAAAAGTAGACTGAGTGAGTGAATTCTCCCTTACATAGTTTGTTATATTCAGGCCTCCAAAAGATTGATGAGGCCCAGGCACTCTGGGGAGGGCAATCTTCTTTACTCAGTCTGATCCAAATGCTAATCTTATCTGGAAACACCCTCACAAACATACCCCAAGATAATGTTTAACTAAATATCTGGGCACCCATGGCCCAGTTAAGTTGACACATAAAATTAATAATCACAATGCTCCTACTTTACTGATTGTTAAACATTTTGAAAAATTGCTCAAGTTTTAAAGCTAATGTAGGACTGATTCAGGGAGTAGATAAATAATGGCACAAAACAGTGGCAAGAAAATAAGGAATAGTCCCAGAAAAGCAGGACAGAGCTAACTAGAAAGCCAGGCTAAGAGCTCCTTCTGTGCAAAAAAGAAACAGAATTTACTCAGTATCTAAAGCTAGAAGACCAGTGGGAAACAGATTATAAAGACAGTAATCACAAATCATCATGAAGAATGCCTATACTAAAAACTACAAAGCAAGTACGTAAAAACTGAGTTGACTTTGTTGGTTAAAAAACTGCTGCTGGTAGGCATTGTAAAAAATTGCTTGTGAAATTCAGCATGGATTTGTTGGTAATGGTTTTGTGAGAGAACTATATTAACTTATGACCAATTCATCCACTTGCCATACTAACTAATATTTTCCATTTCAGACACTTACTGGTGCCTACAGCTTGCTGAATGTTCATGGTCGGTGGCTTTTCTCTAGACTGCTAAGCTCCTACTGGTTGAGGTATCTGTTGACCAATACAGTAGTCAGTTGTGTTTGTACTTTCTTTAAATTTAGTCTAATATTTCATTTTATCATATACTTCTCCTTTGTTGTTTTCTTAGTCCTTGTTCATGGTGTCAATGTTGTATAGTAAGATTAGCTCTCTGAATTTGCCATTTGCAGATACTAAGAAAAATATTTATTCTTTGGAAGAGCATATGATTGGAAAGTATTTGATTATCATGAGTATCACAGGCTTTCTTTGCCTTCTCTTTATTTTCCTTTGGGAGACTACTTTGTGGAGACTAAGAACATTTCTCAATCAGTACATTTACTTTGGGATATACAAGCGATACAAGAAGGTGAGAACTTAAGCATGAAACAACGTAAGAATAAATCTAAGAGAATTAAAAATTAGGCTTGAAAAGTATGTATCTATACAAGGGGTCTTCAAAAAGTTCATGAAAAGATTTGTATTATCGTTTATTTCATTTTTTCTGCAAACTTTTAGCAGTACCTTTGTATATGACTACCTCAGTTACTAGATTAAAAAAAAATCTGTGTCTACAGAAATGTGTTTCTTAGATAAACTTTATGGAGGTCCAATTACCTAAGATAAACAGCATTCATTTTGTTGATTATTTCAAAGGACCATATTTTCTTTTTTTCTCTTTTTTGGTCTTTATTTTTTTGATTTCTATCCTTCTACTTTTGGTTTATTCTTCTCCTTTCTTAACTTCTTAGTTTCTTTCTTAGCCTGAAGCCATTGACTACTCTCTTCTTTTTTTTACCATTAAGAAACATTTAATTTTATTGCGTGATTTTATGTATCTATTGAGGTAATTCTGTTTTACTCCCTTAATTTACTACTGTGGTTAATTATACAGATGGAGTGTATACTGTTGAATTAATTTGCATCTTTGGATAATTTTCATGGTCAATTGTTAATCTTTTTACAAAGTACAGAATTCATTTTTACAATAACTTTGTATAGATTGTTTTTCACTTGATTCATGAAATAGGCTTGTCATAATACTTTTTCTTAAAGCACAATTGATTATACATATTTTGGGGGCACCGCATTGACTACTATCACCTGTGTACAATATATGTTGATCAAATCAATATTATTGCCATATCATTATTACAAATCATAATTATTCTTTATGCCCCTTTTCCAATCTCTCTCCAACTCCCTTCTCACTCCCTCCACCTCTAGTAACTACAGATTTGTTCTCTCCTTCTGAAAGATCAGTGTATTACTGTAAACTTTTCTTTTTCTTTCTTTCTTTCTTTGCACCCAGTTATGAATAAGGACATGCGGTATTTCTTTTTCTGTGTCTGAGTTATTTCTCTTAACATAACTTTTTCCAAGCTCATCCATGTTGCTGTGAATGATAAAATTTCATTTTTTATGGCTGAGTGGTATTCCATTGAGCATATATACCATATTTTCCTTATCCAGTTGTCCATCGATGGACATTTAGGTTGGTTCCATTATTTGGCTTTTGTAAATAGAGCTGTGATAAACATGAGGGTGCAGGTATTCCTTCGACATGATGATTTCCATTCCTTTGGGTATACATCCAGTAGGGGATTGCTGGGTCATATGGGAGTTCTATCTGTAGTTGTTTGAGAAAACTCCATACTGTTTTTTGATAATGGCTGCACTAATTTACAGTCCCACCAACAGTGCTCTCCTTTTCTAATGTAAGCACTTAAAGGTAAACATTCCCTATAAGCATTGCTCTAGCTATGCCCTAAAGTTTTTATTTATTATTTATTTTTAATTGACAAATAGCAACTGTGTTCTTATAGTGTGTGAAATAATGTCTTGATATATGTATACATGGTAAAATGGCTAAATCAAGCTTATTCACATATTCATTACCTCATGTATTTATCTTTCTTTTGTGGTGGAACATTTCAAATCTACTCTCAGGACTTTAAAAACTTTTTAATTGACAAATAATTGTATATGTTTGTGGGGTAAAATGTGATGTTTGAAATATGTTTACATTGTGGAATAATTAAATCAAGGTAATTAACAAATATATCACCTCACATTAATTTTTTGTAGTGAAAACAATTAAAATTTTTTAGCAATTTTGAAATATACAATGTATTATTATTTATTATAGTCACCATACTGTGCAATAGATTCAAAACCTTATTCCTCCCATCTAGCTGAAACATTGTACCCTTGGATGAACATCTCTCCTTCCCCATCTACCCCTTCAACAAGCCTGTGGTAACCACCATTCTACTCTCTGCTTGTGAATTTGACTTTTTTAGATTCCACATACACATGAGATCATGCAATATTTGTCTTTCTGTGCCTGGCTTCTTACACTTCACATAATGTCCTCCAGGTTCATTCATATTGTCACAAATGACAAAATTTCCTGCTTTTATAAGGGTGGATAGTATTATTCCATTTTGTACATGTGCCACATTTTCTTAATCCATTTATCTGGTGATGGACACCTAGGCTGCTTTCATATCTTAGCTATTGTGAACATGCTGATCAGCATACTGATTTCACTTCCTCTGGATATATACCCAGAAGTGGAATTGTTGGATCATGTGGTATTTCCATTTTTAGTTTTCTGAGAAACTTCCATACTGTTTTCCATAATGGCTGTATTAATTTACATTACCAGCAACAGTGCACAAAGGTGCCCTTTTCTCCACACCCTTAACAACACTCATTACCTTTTGTCTTTTCATAATAGCCATTCTAACAAGTGTCAGGCATCTCATTGTGGTTTTAATTTGCATTTCCTTGATGATTAGTGATATTGAGCATTCTTTTTATATGTCTGTTGGCCATTTATATGTGTTTGCTTGTGTGGGTTTTTTGGTTTTGCTTTGAGAAATGTCTATTCAGGTCCTTCGCACATTTTTTAAATTATGGGTTTTTTTCCTTGCTATTGAGTTGAGTTCTTTATATTATGAATATTAACTCCTTATCAGATGTATATTTGCAAATATATTCTCCCAACTCATAAGTTGTCTCTTCACTCTATTAATAGTTTCCTCTGCTGTGCAGAAGCTTTTTAGTTTTATGCAAATCCCACTTGTCTATTTTTGCTTTTGCTGCCCATGTTTTTCAGATCATATACAAAAAATCCTTGCCCAGAGCAACATCAAAGAGCTCTTCTATGTTTTCCTCTAGTAGTTTTACAGTTTAATTAATTAAGTCTTTAATCCATTTTTGAGTTGATTTTTTTATATGGGGTGAGATAAGGATCCAAATTTTTTCTTTTGCATGTGAATATCCAGTTTTTGAAACAGCGTTTACTGGAGAAACTGTCCTTTCTGCATTGTGTGTTCTCTGCACCTTTGCTAAAGATCAGCCAACCTTTAATGCATGGATTTATTTCTGGGCTCTCTATTCTGATCCATTAGTCTATATTCTGCTTTTGTGCCGGTACCCACTGCTTGTATTACTATAGCTTTGTAGTCGAATTTATGATCAACTAGTGTGATGGTGGAGCTTTGTTCTTTTTCACTCAAGATTGCTTTGGCTGTTCAGTCTTTTGTGGTTTCATATAAATGTAAGGATTGTTTTTCTGTGAAAAAGACCATTGGAATTTTGATAGAAATGGTATTGATTCTTTTGATCAATTTGGATAATATGAATATTTTAACAATATTACTTTTCCAATCTATTAAAATGGGCTATTTTTCCATTTATTTGTGCCTTCAAAATATTTCATTGTTGTTTTATATTTTTCAGTACACAGACCTTTCACCACTTTGGTTAAATTTATTCCTAAGTATTTCTTTTTGTGCAATTGTGAATGAGATTATTTTCTTGATTTTGGTGGGGGGGGAAAGGTAGTTATTAGAACAGAAATACTACTAATTTTGGTATGTTAATTTTGTATTCTGCAAAGTTACTGAATTAGTTTATTAGTTCTAAGAATTTTTCATACCATCCCCCAGCTACTTATTGCAGAGGCTATGTTCTGGGTGCGTGCCGTTGAGATTTGAGGGACATTTTCTTCCGCCCAGCCCCTACTCATGCGGTGGGACTCTGCGTTGGGCATAGTGTGCTACACTAGGTCTTGAGCCCTAGCTCATTCATAGGGCAGAGGTATCATACTGGGAGAGGCAAGCCATGAAGACCAGAGACTACTATCCTCCACTGAGCATCCAGCTCCTGAAGCAGAGAAACATACCAGTGTCCCACCTCTGGACCAATGGCTCAGCGATTATGCCCAGGGGGTAGAGTTGGGCTGTAAAACAGAACTCCTCTCCTCTCCCCAAAGTAATTAACTTTATTCAAAACTGAGTATTACGAAGTTAAAGCCTAAGGATGCTCTAAAAAAAAATGTAGGTTTTGGTAGAAAGCAATTAAGAGATAACTGATAGCTCCATTAGAGATATAAATTAAGCCATAGGCTAGCTGGTTTACCAGAGAGAACGGGGGGAAAACAGCTAATAAAGAGCCCTCCTGGGATGAGAACAAACCTTAAACACATACTCCATATTATTTCTACAAAGGAGCCCAATTTCCTTTTTTTTGTCTTTTTTCGTGACCGGCAACAGGATCGCAACCCTCGGTGTTGCGCCCGCACCTCACTCAGCCAGTGAGCGGCCGGTCTGTATGTGGGATCCGAACCCTCGGTGGGAGCGCCGCCACGCTCCCAAGCGGCGCACTGAAGCAGTGCGCCACCGGGCCAGCCCAAAGGAGCCCAATTTAATTAAACCATTCTTTCAATGCCCTAGGACATTGTTGAAAAAAGTCCAGAAATCATCCAGTATTTGGTCAAGTTTTGTATGGTCATGGAAAGAGAGAGAGTCAAAAAAAAGCCCTGCAAAAACGACTTGTCATCCAGGGTGACTGTACTCGTGTCCAGGTCTGCACCCACTGAGGGACAACATCAGAAACATTATACTGGAAGGGGAATAGACTTTCCTAAAACAGCCCAGCCAGTTACTAAACAATAAAATAGAAAGATACATTAGAGCTTGATTGGAAGCTGAGAGAAAATGAAGCCCCGGGTTCGTGGCTGCACATGCTTGGATTAAAATTCTGTCACACTGGGATGGGCGGAGGGAGAAAGGGAGTGGGTCATGATTTAAATGCCATAGGATTTCACTGTTCTTAACAAGTGTAATATATTTTCTTGAATAAATTTTACTTTTTTATATATAATAACAATTGCAATCAACTTTAATTATAGCTTATATTTGATGTATATTAAAAATAGGTACATGGCCGGCCCGGTGGCACACTGCTACAGTGCGCCGCTTGGGAGCGCGGTGGTGCTCCCGCCGAGGGTTCGGATCCCACATACAGACCGGTTCCCGCTCACTGGCTGAGCGAGGGGCGGGCGCAGCACCGAGGGTTGCGATCCCGTTGCCGGTCCCGGTCCGGTACGGGCGCAACACTGAGGGTTGTGGTCCATTGCCGGACATGAAAAAAGACAAAAAGGAAAAAAAAATAGGTACAGATTATACAGATAGAGAATTAAGATTTGGTAAGCATGGTTAAGCAATTTGACCAAAAACAAATTATTTGTGAGCAAGCACAGATAAAGTCATTCTGACACTAGAGTTTACCTTCTAAGCCTCCTCCATCCAAAGTGTATACTTGAAAGAAATGTGGAAAAACAGATATATCTATTACAATTACAGAATTATCCATGTAAGCTAACCCTATAGGAAAATACTCAATTTGATTTTCAATGTGTTGTTTAAAAAGTTCTACCCCTTGAGAAGTGTATTGCTTTATGCAACAAAAGGCACTATCTCATTGAGTGAAATGAGCAGAGCATAGAGGGATAAATACCGCATGTGCTCACTCATAAGTGGGAGCTAATAGAGAAAGACGGAAGGAAAGAAAGACCACAGTGGTGCGTTGGACTTGCAGAGGGAGACAACATACCTTGGGATGCAAAGTGGAATTGTGGGGAAAGAGGGAGGGAGAGGGAGGTCGGGGACAATTGGGTGGGGGACATGGGGTACAATCGCAATTTGTGGTAATGGGCACGCTGCCAGTATGGATCTGGCCTTCACATCTTGGGCATGAGGGGTGACAATCAGCTTTGTATCTCATGAATATTCATAACCAATAAATAAAAGGCACTATCTCATGAATGAATTTGATGTTATGCATCACCAAGTGGCACACAAGACACACACCTATAACTAAATATAATAGGTATGACAAGTTAAAAGAAAAAACTTCAACATAGTCACCATAAATTTAAAAAAACAGGGGAGGGGATGCCAAAGTATTTATCTTCATCTAACATAGCATTGCCCAAAGAAAATTAAAGTGAAATTTATAAGAACTAACTTTATGAATTACTTCCTGTGTACCAAGCACCGTTTTAAATGTTTTGTTTGTATTAATTCATTTAATCCCTCAAATAATCCTAAAGGTTATTATTACCTCCTTTTTTCCACAGAAGGTGACTGAGGTACAAAATGGTTTTAAAAATGCCCAAGTCCAACAACCTAAACCAGATTTCAAGCCCAGGTGTGACTCTAGAGCTCCTGCTCTTATCTTATTGATTCTGTCATCATAATTATTATTAAGAAGTGCCATTATTGAAGTTTTCAATCTCAAAAGCTCTGCTAAATTTTATTTATTTTTTTGAATAAATTTTTCTTCACTTTCTGCATGCCCTTAGCATCATTTCTAAAGGCTTTAAGTAGTTTTACTTTCAAATATTTTTTTTCCCAGTATCACTGGGTCACAGGTTCACAGTGCCATTCTCTCACACCATCATTCTGAAAATCTCAAAAATTTTATGGATGAAGTCTTACTGACTTTTTCTCTCTCCCCCATAAAAGGAAGAGTTCATTCTTCTTTAGTCTTTCAGTATGTTGGCCATATTGTGATTGTAACAAATCATATTTGATTAATCTCAGTTGTGGCTTCAGTTTTTCATGAGGAATCTGATTCTGGAAAAAAAAAATAGGCTATGTAATTCTAATTAAACTGTGGAAAACAACAATCAATGTGTTCTGAAATGACTGGACAATACTGTCTGGAAAACTGCCAAATTTCTGTTCTAACATCTTAGAATCAGTTTTCTGAGTCATTTGGTCTAGTCAAGATGACTAAGACATTCATATCTGTAACATTTATCTTGAAAATACAGGCCATACGGTCTAGTGAGTTTCTTAGGAAAAGTCAATTTGAGCCTTGCTGATTTTCTTAGCTCCCACTACCTTTTAATCTGGGCAAAAGTTATTTATTATTTCAAATTTATTACTGTATTTTTTAAAAAGCTTCTCTGCTCTCTTAAGATGACGTGTATATTGAGAAGTTAAAATAAAAAATAAATAAATAAATAAATAAAAATAAAATAAAATATTTCATATGTTGAATAACTGAAGCACATTTATAATAGAAGGGGAGAAGCTGAAGAAATAGAGGAAGGAGTGACACATGATGACAGCAGGTGAGTGGGTCCTGATGAGTGGTCTTCACAGAGGAAGGGGTACATGGGGTCTCTCCTAAATATTGTTATCCATAACACTTATTAAATCCCCTTGGGTGATAAGGGTGATGTAAAACAGTCCAGTCCCCAGATGGTGAGGAATGAAGAAAAGGATTAAGTGAATCTGGAGCCAAGTAGCAAAAGCTGACTTGGGAAGCAAAGAGATAATCCACATAAAGTGCCAAATTTAAAAGGAGAGGGGAAATACAGGAAAAACATGAGCGTTTTGCAATGACTGATGCTGAGTTCAGTACAACTGAGGGAACTTATTCAAGCCTCAGAAAATCTCTTCAAATTTGCTAATCTGAAACATCTCATACTTTATGTGACTGGTGATGACATTTTTGCCTATTTAGTCCTTTAAAAGTGTTCTTTATGGGCCGGCCCGGTGGCNTAATTCTAATTAAACTGTGGAAAACAACAATCAATGTGTTCTGAAATGACTGGACAATACTGTCTGGAAAACTGCCAAATTTCTGTTCTAACATCTTAGAATCAGTTTTCTGAGTCATTTGGTCTAGTCAAGATGACTAAGACATTCATATCTGTAACATTTATCTTGAAAATACAGGCCATACGGTCTAGTGAGTTTCTTAGGAAAAGTCAATTTGAGCCTTGCTGATTTTCTTAGCTCCCACTACCTTTTAATCTGGGCAAAAGTTATTTATTATTTCAAATTTATTACTGTATTTTTTAAAAAGCTTCTCTGCTCTCTTAAGATGACTTCCTTCTTAAAGATCCAGTTGATAAAATCATTTCTCTAAATGTTTTAAACTCTTTCTTTCAAAGATTGAAAGTGTACATTGTAGCACATTAATTCACAGTCTTTCTACTATGTCAATACATTTTTCCTCTCCTCTGCTCCTCACCTTCATTTCCCTGATGAACTATTCATTACTCAAAACTTAGTCAAGTTGGACATATGTCAGAGCTGAAGTGATATTTAAGAAGTCTCTTGAAAAGACTGAAAACTTTTGTTTTGACATAGTTAATATTACCTCTTAGTTTAAATTTCACAAAGCTACCCAGTATAGAACAGATGCCTAAAGGGCATTCACCTCTATGATCCTTGTCTTGAAAATGCAGGATATAGTGTCCAAGGAATTATCTGGGCAATCTGAAGATGAAGATGTACAAAATGAAAGAAGGAGAATCATGGGGCATCCTCCCGAGTTGCTGAATTTCACAGTATTTATTAAGGAACTCATAAAGGTAACATCATTCAATGGCCGATATATGCTGGCTTCATCTCTACTTACCAGCATGCCATTGAGGCCAAGGGTTTACTGTGGTTCTTCTGGGTCTGTGTGTATTCTCCCAGTAGAACAGAAGAATTCTTGTGAAACTGTGTGATGTAGTTGTCTATATGGTTTGAGATATTGATTGTATTTGGCCTATAAGTATTCTTTACCAAATTGTGTTTTCTGAATTTTTTAGATTTATTTTAACTGTCCAGTCATTCTGGCTGTGAAAAATATCTCCCTTGCCATCCAAAAGGGGGAGTGTTTTGGACTGCTTGGATTCAATGGAGCTGGAAAAACTAGTACTTTTCAAATTTTGACTGGTGAGAAGAGTGCCACCTCTGGGGATGTGTTCATTGATGGCTTTAGCATCACCAAAAATACGCTAAAGGTAAGATGCTATTACAGTCTAAGATGTGAGAGGCATAATGACTCAGGGGTTCAGGTAACATGCAGATGGCAAGGGATGATAAATGGGAATCATGGTAGGTACTGATAATTGATACTGTTGATGCAGTCAGTGGATTCTGGAAAGAGAAATACATCTTTGAAGAGAGGATGAAGCAATAAGAAAAGAATCAAAAACAAGAGCGTCTTTTGTGTTCTTTGAAACTGTTGAAGTAAAAGGGATGTTTTCTCAACACCACATTTAATATATGGCAGACGAGGTGCTGTAAGGGTGTAAGGACGGCAAGACTGGGCAGAAAGAGAAGATACTTTGCAATTCAGTTGCAAATGAGGCCTTTATCCATCTTGCTGAGATCCCTGAAGCAGAATGAGCTTTAGGGTGGTCCCAAATCAAAGCAAGATTACCATCCTTTGTATTTCTGCACCAGCCAGTCTTTGGCTGCCCATGCCACCTGGGAGAGGGAACATAACCTTGGGAAGAAGCAAAGTGTGGACAGAATTTCAAGAAGAAAAGAATGGTCAAAGGAGTCAAATGCCAGGAAATCTCAGGCAAGGTTAAGCCTGAATAGTGCACATTGGGTTTAGTAATGTGCACATTGGGCTTAGTCTCTCTCTCTTCGTTGATGAGATTGGTAAGCACAATTACACTAGGGTCCGATGGGTGGTCGTAATGGGAGCACGAAAGGTGTGATTCTTTCCTCTGCATTTCACGTAGTCCACTACCATCACATAGTCCACTACCATCACGTAATCAGGAAGACGGAGCTGGGGGATCCTCATGATGTAGGATAAACAGTAGTCTAGGAATCACAAATAAAGCTAAAATGTGGATTATACTCTGAGGAAAGTTATCTGTGAGGCAAAGGGTAGAATTAGAGTTTTCACTCAGGTTGTGAAAAGGAGACAGAAGATATTTCAAAAATCAACTACAGTGTATATTGAGAAGTTAAAATAAAAAATAAATAAATAAATAAATAAAAATAAAATAAAATATTTCATATGTTGAATAACTGAAGCACATTTATAATAGAAGGGGAGAAGCTGAAGAAATAGAGGAAGGAGTGACACATGATGACAGCAGGTGAGTGGGTCCTGATGAGTGGTCTTCACAGAGGAAGGGGTACATGGGGTCTCTCCTAAATATTGTTATCCATAACACTTATTAAATCCCCTTGGGTGATAAGGGTGATGTAAAACAGTCCAGTCCCCAGATGGTGAGGAATGAAGAAAAGGATTAAGTGAATCTGGAGCCAAGTAGCAAAAGCTGACTTGGGAAGCAAAGAGATAATCCACATAAAGTGCCAAATTTAAAAGGAGAGGGGAAATACAGGAAAAACATGAGCGTTTTGTAATGACTGATGCTGAGTTCAGTACAACTGAGGGAACTTATTCAAGCCTCAGAAAATCTCTTCAAATTTGCTAATCTGAAACATCTCATACTTTATGTGACTGGTGATGACATTTTTGCCTATTTAGTCCTTTAAAAGTGTTCTTTATGGGCCGGCCCGGTGGCNAAAAAAAAAAAGTGTTCTTTAACATTGTCTTTTTATTATGGTAAAAATACATAATATAAAACTTACCATTTTAAGTATTTCTGAGTGTTCAATTTAGTGGCATTAAGAACATTCGCATTGTTGTGCACCCGTCACCACTATCTATTTCCAGAACATTTTTATTATTCCCAAACTGAAAATCTTTTTTTAGGAATTTATTTATTTTGTAATTGAAACATACTGATTGCACATATTATGGGGTGCTGAGTTATATGTTAATATGTGTATACAATTTGTAATGATCAAATCAGGGTAGTCAGCAAATTCATCATCACAAAGACTTAGTGTTTCTTGGTGATGAGAACATTTGAGCTCCCTTTACTCCCTGGTAACCACAGTTCTACCTCTGTCACTATGAATTTGACTGTTCTGGTGGGTACCTTATATATGTAAAATAATACAAAATGTGTCCTTTTATGTCTGACATACTTCACCTAGCATAATGCCCTCAAGGTTCACCTATATATAAGAATTTTATTCCATTTTAAGGCTGAGTAAGATTTCATTGTATGAATATACAACATTTTCTTTACCCATTCATTTGTTGATGGACATTTGGGCTGTTCGTACCTTTCACCTGTTATAAATAATGCAGCTAAAACATTAGTATACAAATATCTGTTTGAGTCCCTGCTTTCAATTATTTAGGGCATACGAGGGTACTTCAAAAAGGTGGAAAAATACAGGTGAAAGATAATGCTAATCTTTCCATGAGCTTTTTGAAGTACCCTTGTATACCTGGAAGTGGAATTGCTGTATAGTAATTCTATATATTTTTTTTTTTTGACCGGTAAGGGGATCATAAACCCTGGCTCATTGTTGTCTGCACCACGTTCAGCCAGTGAGTGCACTGGCCACCCCTATATAGGATCCGAACCCACGGCCTCTGCGCTATCAGTGCCACACTCTCCCGAGTGAGCCACGGGGCCAGCCCTATGATTTTTTTTTTTAGGAACTTCCATGTTGTATTCCACAGCAGCTGCACCATTTTGCATTCCCAC